TACATTGTTTACATATTATTTAACTTTATTTTTACGTGCAAAAGGTGTGTAAATGGAAATGGGAAAAACGGAAAATGTGTGAAAATTGGGTACCGTGCGGGTGGGCAGATAAGCAGCTAAAATAACGTTTTCGCACTCTATGCGATTAGATAAGTCCAGCAAAAAAAAAAATGGGAAAAAAACAAAAAATCAAACAATTGTTGGGGTCTCATAAAATTTACTTGTAATGGAAAGTAGAAATTTGTTATACATAGAAAATAAGAAAATCAAATGGAAGACCAAATGAAATTGCATCAAAATTGAATCTGAAATGAAAGATCCGCCCTGTGGCAGCCACTCCACACTCGGAGCGGTGTATACTAGTGTGCTCCTCCGAGTGTACTCTGTAATTTTGAACATCTAAAGGGAAGCTTTTGTCCCATGCTGAGAGATAAACCAATTTGGGTTTTTGTTTGTTTTTATTTGGTGCGCGTGTGTGTGTGTGATAATTACATAAGTAATACACATCATACATACTCGTACATCCCACTCTGCAAGTGGATTTCTGGGATACATACCCTATCAGCGGGCATTATAATGCCGAATAGATGTTTGTAATACTGAGGAGAATATTTCGGAATATTTTATTATATGTTATATTTTTAATATTTGTTAGCGCTCTACGGAGAGATTCACTTCAGATTTTCCTTAGTTTAATTGAATTCGAATTACTATTCTTTTCTTTCGTTTACACTTATTTCGCGTCATGCAGAAGCGCTCATCGGTCAGCTATGGGGCAGGTATGCTGCTGTTTTCATAGACACTCTTAATCCATTAAAAAAAAACATATTCTAGTGTCTTAAATCGGCATACCTAGCATATATTTATGTAGATATCATAGCAAAAATGTACCCAATTCTTCGGCCTGTCGAAACCATCAAATTTCCCTCTTATTTCTGCTTAGTTTTTTCCTCAGTTCTCTAATAGAATTTATATGTACTAATGGATGCCTAATACGGTTAGCACATGAGCCATGATGACTCACTCAAGCAATTACATAAGCCACAGTCACACTCACTGCCACCGAATCGCCCCAGCTTCTACCCCAGCTCCTCACATGCATGAGATTATCTTTTAGAATCAACCGAAAAATAATACAAAAAAAAAACTAAACAAAAAAGCGTAAATTTATTCCTCACATCATCTCATTAACATGCGCCAAGGGTTAAACTTCAATCACCCCGAAGGATAACCCATGCCACACACAATTCCCGCTCTATGCCCATTCTATGCCTCATTATAATTTTGTTAAATGTTATGTAAAAGAGAGTGTCATGTTCCACCTCTCTCCCAGACCCCGACCCAGATCCACACCCACTCACCACACTTTCTCTCTTGGCGCCTCATTGGCGGACTCTCCAGGGTCCTTGGAGGATTGCCCACTGGCTTCCATTTACAATCCAACCCAACCCAAGCCAAGCCAAGGCACTGACGTTTTGACTTTTAATTGTGTTTTAAAGTGTTAAGGACACCCCACCCCACTCTGGCCCCCAGAGGGGTGGGTTCTGACAATTGTATGGGGTGATGGGGGTGGCTGGGGGTGGCTGGGTGGCTGATGGCTCGTGCACTTGGGTCATTTTCAGGCCATTTGGTTTTTGATTTAGTTCTCTTGGGCTGTTTGGTCATTTGATGCCTAATTAAATTTAACGATGACGTTGATTTCTCGTTCTCTCGACTCTGCTCTGGGGAGACATCTGCGGGATTGGAATGCCAGTGGTTTAATATTGCAATTCCTCTCGAAACCGACTTGCTTGCTGTGTAACCGACTTGCTGTGTGTGTGTGTGAAATTGATATGTAAACCGCAAAAGGGATTTCTGGTAAGGCAACGAAATTCAATAAGGCAAATCAATGGCAAGAATTTATTTGGATTGAAAAATATTTCGATTCGAATAACAGAAGTCTACGTTTCAAGAAGACACGGCCCGAATTTAGCGGACGGCACGCTCCCAAAAGCGGAGAAACAGCCACTTAGTACTCAGCAGGATTATCTAATTTCTCCCAGTGTATCCCGTTGCAAGAGACCTCCATTTTCGATTCTAGTGTCAATCGCGTGCATTTTGTATTTGACCATAATCACGATGTAGCCTAGGTCTAGGTGCCTAGGCCTAGGTGCACGTGCTCGGATTGTGGCGACTCCATTTCAACACTGATTCAAGGTGGCCACTTCGGGGGCATAGAACGTTAACGCCGCAGTATTTCCTCAAGTATTTCCTTTGCCAAAGTTAAGAATGCCTCCTGCTTCTCGAGTTCCTGGAAGCCGGAATAAGTGACCAACTCTAGTACATCGATAACACAATCCACGTCCAATGCGGACAGCGGCACATTGCCCGTGTAAATGTAGCCAAGAATCAGCTTAAACGGATCCAGGCGCGAATCTGACCCCCATTGAGCATGGCCCTGAAGTACTCACTGCTTGCAGTCAAAACAAGACGGTGGGTCGGCAGGCGTTGATCCTCCACATAAAGATGGCCCATGTATGCCATCAAATCATTAGTTGGGTCGAAAGCCAATCGCTTCAGCCTGTTGCAGCCTTTTCTGCTCTCTTGGCTGTCCATTTTGGTCACTCATCGCTTCTGTGTGTGTGTGTGTTTGAGTATTGGCGTCTCCTATATATCTTTATTTGCCTTAATTCATAAACATACGATTTTCTATTCCTCTTCCCTTATGAAGTTTATCGTCTTGGCGATATCTCTGGATATGGATTTCTTTTGCTTAGGCGGTGGATCACATAGATTGGAACAATGGGAATGCTGAATGTTCCCTTGCTTACAAGCTGGCAAAGAATATTCCAATCTATTTCACAAGCTTCTATTTTTACATATAAGCATTCTGCAATTTTCGAAACCCCTCAAAAACCCGTCTGGGCAACCACTTTAATAAGCATCCCAATTTACCCGCAAATAAATATCCAAATAAAAATAAATTTGTCCACCAAAATAAAGAAAGAAAGTCCAAACATAACCCTTAACCGCCCATATCAAGCCAACCGTACTTGTGTCTATGTTTATCCCTTATGTTTGAGGAGGGGGGTGGAACGAGTTGAAGGACCTGGAAACATTCATCAAAAAAAGAATCTCAGCCCAGCCGCCAAACGCGCGACTCTCTTCGACTCTTCCCCTTGCGGGAGTGTAGTTGTGTGTGTGGGGGAATTTAAGCGCAGGGAATAGAAAGGATTCCTGGGAGCAGAACGAACAGCTAATAACAGGATTAACACAATGGAGGAAAATTGAATTTTATGCCAATATACTTAGCCGTGGAACGGAACGCTTAAAGAGTCACAAACCAACATCCATGGGCGGCTCTACGGAAGATGGCGACGGCGCGCCGAGCAAACACAAAGTCCCAAACGTAATTTTCACGAATTCATTGAACTGCGTGGAGTGTGAAAAATAACAATTTAGATAAATATTGCGACGGCGACCTCCATGGGCGTCGTCATCCCAGTCGGTTGTCGTTCTTGTCGCTGCGCCACCACACCACACCGCTGTACACGACGGGGGGGGGAGCCTTAGCCAACGATGGGGAGAAGACGCAGAGCGGAGCTCTAGACGATGGCAAGCGCATCGACCGTTGACACAGAAATCATATTAATATAAATTAACGATGTGGAAAATTTAGTTTAGTAGTGAAAATGGCAAAAGAGACCCAAAGAAGCTGCCAACTTGTGTGTTGTGTTGTGTGTGTGTGTGTGTGGCTCTCACGTCGTCGCCTCATCAGTCAAAATGTCCAGGGTGTTGCAAATCCCAGAGAGAAACCCACCTCCCCAACCACACCCCCCATACGAATTTCAATTCCAATCTCAATGCCAGCATTGAGGAATTGTTTTGTTTTGTTTTGATTTTATTCTGGCTGTTCTGCCTTGGTCCGGTGTACAATATTTTTCGAGTGCATCAATCTCCATCTTCAGGCATTTTTCACATTAATTGGCATTCTCATGATTTAATTTCAATGCATTTTGCCCCTTCCTAAACTCAATTGGAAGCTAATAACTCCCCGCATAGACAACGACAACGACATCAATATAATCATAATCCGATTATGCGCACGTCATCAACGGCTTCCACATCCACTTCCACATGTGGGATGGGCGTACGAGTACCACCACCGCTGCTCGATGCTCGAGTGGGTTGGGCTTCTGTGCAAAACTTGTTGATTGCAAATTGATTAAGCAAAGTTCTTTCGATATCAGAGCTAATGCGCCCTAAAGCCGGCTACAGCTCGAGGGCTGCCTTTCGATGGTTTTTCAAGTTGAGCTTTACAAAAAAAAAAAAGGAGTGCAGCAAATTAAATCTCTAGCTTCAATAGCGAAAAGTCTATTATGGCTAAGAGCAACAAAAAATGGCTGTATTTGGTATTAGTTTTTGTTAGACGAAGTTTTAGATTTGTGTCTGCATTTAAACAAAGGGTTTTCTAGGGGATGGGATATGGCAAAGCAGGAAACTTTAAATTCTGTAGAAAGTGGGGAAATAATTGTAAAATTGTGATGGTGCAGGAACACCAAAGAGCTTACACTGACTGTAATTTTCCTTGTTAGATTTCGTTGCTTATGCAGATATCTTTAAAATAAGCCTCTAAACCAGTGTTCGACACGCACACATTTACATGCTTTGCAGTGCGTTTGTATTGAACATTGTATTGGCCATTGTATAAGAACCGGTTCTAACCTCTGTAATACATGTGTACATGAGCGGCAGCGCAGCAGCAGCGCCTTTTCCTGTACCCATTAGATAGGGCCATACCGAACCCCGTCTCTAAGCCAATACACAGGGGCAAACTCTTAGAAGATTCAAGACTAATTGCTATGCATAAACTAAAATGTGCCAAGTATGTATTCCAATCTATTCTTTTCCCTTATTTCTAATGCCTTAAAAAATATGCCCAGAAATATTTATCATAGATTTTGTTTTTTTTCTTTTGAAAACCCTTTTGATTTATTGCTGATATATTGTATTGTATAATATTCTGCATATATAGTAATTATTTATTTGTTACAAAAAATTAAAAATGATATCCGTTACATTTGTCAAGAAAATGCCCAAGAAAAACGAAAGGAAAAACTAATCAAAACGAGTACCTGGCACAGCAGCCACAGCACAGGGGAATGGGGGGGTAGAACCATTGGTTATACATATTTTTTCTTATGAGACTACACAAAAAGGTTTTCATTTTGGGGTGCGAAATTCTTGGTGCCACTGTAAGGCGACACATTGGCCTGTGCTGCTGGGTTTGATCTTGTTTTTGTCATTGGCGGCCACACTGGCAGGAGGTGCTTCGGAGTCCATGGGACTCGTCATGAGTGCCAAAAAGTGTGGGCCAAGACAGACTGCTGGGTACTCCTACTCTATGCTTGGTGTGGGGCTTGGACATGGGATGATTGCTGGTTGTACATAGAAAGTTGTTTGTTTGTTTGGTTGTTTGTTTTAGGGAAGGGGAATGGATGCTTGGGTTAATGTAACTTTATATAACGATAACTTTGCAAAGGACATTTAAAACTTAGATGTGAGAGAGACCTAACGCTTGCGTTCCTGGTAGAATTCGCGTATCAACTGCCGCAAGTAACGCATCTCGCTACGACGCTCCCTCAGGGTGCGACGCAGCCCCTCGTTCTCTTGGGTTAGCTCCTGCTCTTCACCCAGCACGCTCTCCATTTCGATCTTCTTCTTTTGGCGATAACGTGTGGCCGCATTCTTGTTCTGCTCCTTCTTCCTGATCTTGCGATCCTCCACGCCGCGTCCATAGGTGCGAGTGCGCTTCTTGGGTGCAGCCATCGAGGTATGCTCCATGGATGTGTGAGCTGGGGAAGAGCTGCTGCTGCTTGTCTGCTCTGGCAGCCAGTCCTCGTCCACATCGGCAATGCTGCCGCTCACTCTGCTACTGCTGCTGCTACTGCTGCAGCCCATCGAAGACGAGGCCTGAGATTCGCAGTCATCGTTCGGCGGCTGCCAGTTGGGTGGCAGCTCCAGCTCCTGGGCTCTCATGTTGACAATGTCATCGATCAACTGGTTCTCCCGGGCGATCTCGCTGCCAGCCACCCAGTGTCCAGTGTTGTAGCTGAACGGCGTGGCCGGTGCAGCGGCCGGAATAGCATCAGTGGCATAGCATTGCTACAAGGAATGGTACAACTTTATTAAGACTCTCTTTGGTTGTGGGATCTAACTCTATGGTAACTTACCTTCTGCTCGATCTTGACGAGTGCTGGCGACAGTTCTGGTTGTTGTTTGTAGCCATCGAACTGTGGCGGCGACTGCGGTGGTGTCAACTGCAAGATCGATGAGGGATCCACGGGCTGGTACTCCTCAGCAGCAGCCACAGTTGGAGCTAAAACAGCAGCAAAGTGTGCTTTGGTTATGGGTATTATCGGCTGTCCGACTGCATCGCCCACACTTGGGGCATAGGTGTTTGTCTCATAGTCAATGCAGTTCAGATGGGCCTTTTGGTCCAGGAGGCATTCTATAAAACAAGCAGAAAATGATAATAATAATGGCGATTAGAACAGTCCACAGCATTGTATTATTTATGATCTAAAAAATATATGTACCTATATTTGTCCTACTTATAGTTGTAAAATTTCCATTTAATTGAATCCGGGCTATCCCGTTGATAACTGGTTTGGAATTCGAATGGTTTTTAGGTCTTGATTTAGTTTGTTCTCTTGTAAATTGGTTTAGTTTCAAACCAGAATTGAGATATATGAACTTTGTTTGCGTTCAAATGATTATTTCTATCAATATTTATCAGGTTTCAATAACAACTTAATTTATTTTTATTTTACAGAAGATACTTAAGAGATAATTGTTGAATCTATTGCTGTAATCTGCACATTTTTTAGATCTGGTTTAGCTTTGGGTCTCTGTTTTAAGGGTCTATAATCGTTTACAGTCGTTGCGCGTCATGCAGCAGCTCCCCTCGGTTGGTTTTGGGATCTGTGACAGTTATTAAAAGGCACTGAGGGACTTCAGATACTATATGTGATAGAATCATCATCATTCTGAACGCTTCTTCTGCTCTAGTTAAATCTTTCAATCAAGAAACTTCTTTTCCATCATAACGCCTCCTCATTCCCGCCTGCACTGCACTTCAAGAACAACAACTACGTCGCATTTCCTCTATAAAGAATTGTTGTTTTTGTTTTTCTATAATATTTTTCCATACCCAATTGATGAAACTTATTTCCATTGAAGTGAAGGACGCCACAAGCGTTCGTTGTTCGCTTGTGTCGTTCGGAACGAACTCTAGTAAACATTTACATATTGATTGTGGCATATTTTCCTTCTGTTCTATGCGTTTGATTGTTTTTATTGATTCCAACTTGAGATGAAGAACAGATACGACAGAGAGAGTGAGAGAGAGAGAGGGGGAGGGACGTCAAATATTGAACCTAGTTCGACGACATCGTTTTCATTGGAAATTCCAAGTGAGAGTAAGAGTTTTTTTTTCCAGCGAATTGATTACATAGAAAATGGAGATCTAAGTCTACTAAACAACCTTCGAGAAACTTCAGGGCAACACCTGTTTTGACAAATTGACTGACCGACCGACCGACCGACACCTTGGGACGCCATTCACCTCTCCCTAGACGAGGCATTAGCATAACACGTTTCCCCTACACCCCAACCACCCAGCCGTCGATCCACCACTGATCTATCTATCTATCTATCTGTAGAGCTATCTCTAGCCGTCGAATGAACAGCTGCGCTTGAATACGTAAAAATCAGAGCAAAAACTGTAACTGCATTAAGAATGCATTTACATAAAAATCTCGTTTTAATTTACAATGCCAGAGACAGAGCAAGAGCCAGAGACTATCGGACTCTCGATTGTGTGGATGGCCACGCCCTGACTTATTTGAATTTTCATTTATAAACGTATTATGCATTTTTTCTATATGGGAAAAATATGGCACCCATTGTTGGGCGAAACACGTGGATATTAAGTGCTTCCTTCCATATTTTTATTGGTTGAAATGTCGATAAATAGTTATTAATGGGAGGGGGAGGGGATACTGTCTATATCATAATTGCTTGTCGGCTTATAACGCCTTGCTTTCTCAATTAATTAACAAGATTTTTTCAAAAGTTCAAGACACGATCTAAGACCTTGACAGTCCATTACATTAACAAATTATCTACATAAGTAACTAGTTTCTATGGCAGTTATTTATAAGATCTTTTAACGATAGCAAAACTATGAAATATAATTTAATTTACAGAAATATGCAACCCAAAAGTATGCCACAGAAACGTATCTAAAGAAGGAAACAAAAAACTTCTCTGGCTTTTCTTCCTTTATGGAATTTAATTAAATTAAATTAAATTATTTCAATTACTCCGCTACAATACATAAATCCCAGATAATACTGTGCCCAAGAATATTTTCTACATTGCATTATTTTCCATTGTTCTGATTGCTACGCCATTTGTTCACAGTTCGTATTTAATAGATAGCTTATAGAACTTACTTATAGAGCGATTAAATCGCGTCTACAATGTTGCCATTTGCGGAATAATAAATAGAACAACGACAGAGCGGGAAAGAGACAGAGAAACAACTACAATGCCAGTAGTTTCCCCCGACAGTCGAATCGAACAATAATATAATAAATTAAATACAAATAAAATAAATATTAATATTAATATTTAATGGGAACGTGATTAGCAAACGCACAACCTTGAGTCACAAATAACAAATAAGAAAAATGTGCAACGCTCCTGTTGGGCAAAACAATATCAAAGGGGGAAAACTAATGCAAAAATTCCCAGAGGAAGGGTAAGCTTCTTTACTTCTTAGCTTTTCCCCAGTACGAAAATTCCTTTCGTCATTATTTTTCCCACCTTTTTCAAAATCCCAAATTCGCTTAGTAGGTCAAGGTTATTCGCAGTTCATAAAAGTTCTGATTGGGGTTATCTCTCAACGAAAATCCAAGCAGGATTTGTCTAGTTTCGAATGTGATTTTTCAATGTTTGTAGAAGTTTGCAAATTGTATGATTGTTTTTTTTTATTTTGCGCCCAAAAATTCAAACAAAAACCGAAGTGTACAACAGCAGACTCAATCCCCAAGTCCAGTCATAATATGCAAATGGGTTTTATAAATATTTAACTGAAAGCAATCACCAGGAAGAGAGAGCATGAAACAATGAAATGAAGTAAAAACAACGAAGCAAGTTGTTGGCGTTAAACTCGCTTGACCGGAAAGTCATCGCAAAGAGTAGCAGCCGCCTCTGGACCTGGAGTTGCTGCAGACTTTGGAGTTGACAGTTGGGAGACGAGACAAAGGGGTGTCGTCTGTTGTAAGTCCAAGAAAGATGTGAAAACAAACAGCTCTACAGCTCATCATCATCTCGTAATCGTATCTCTCCGATGTGTCTCCGTCTCTTCTCCCACGTCAGAAAAGAGATAGTGAGGCGGAACGTGGTGTGACAATAATTGTTGATAAGAGCAAGTGCAGCAGTGGGTCAGTCAGCCCTGCCTAATGATGTTGAGACCTGAGACTGAATACTCGTATATGTATGCAAAAATGCCGTCGGCAAGTGGCAGATCTCTAAGGAATGTGCATCGTTAGTAGCAGGAACTAGGAATATGAATGTGGGGAATATTTTTTAGCTGAATTTAAACTGGTATTTAATAATTGTTTGGAATGAAATTATACTTTTAAAAGATGTTCCCCATGTCCAATATAAAAAAACTATGAATACTAAAGGAATGCTTATGGAAAATATGCATTTATCTGAATTTTAACTATATAAGGACAGCTCTCTGCAGTCTATTGTTACCCACCATAATATCTTTCATAATATCTCACAGTGATTCATATGTACGATTTTTATAGTACAGATCGCTGCCTTAGAAGATGATATCCTTATAATTTTAACACATTTTATAAAGCATACTTCCTTATCGGATAACAAATTCTCAGCCTGTAAATACCTATAGATTGAATTCCAATAACAATAAATAAAATAATACATTCTTTATATCATATATCATATCATATCAGGGACAGTCAGTCACATACTAACCATAGGCTTGCATAAATATATATGTACTCATCTTCGCGGCAGCAGTCAATCGTTGAGGAAATGGGGCGTGTTTGTGGTGTTGGTGTTTTGTGGCTTGTCTCAAGTTTCAGTGTGCAGTACAAAAGTTTCAGGCAGTAAAAGAGTAGAGCAAAAGTAGCGCAAGAAACGCCTAAACAATTGTGGAATGTCTTAAAACTAAACTAAACCTAAAATAAATCGACGAAAAAGCTAAACTAAAATATCAAACAAATTGGAGAACGAAACGTAAAACGTAAATGCTAATGTTAACGAGAGATGCTATGTTTTTATCAGAATAATATTGTTATTTTCTATTTGTAGTATATTTAAATATTAGCAACAGAAAAATGGTAGGGGGGGAGGGTAGAAAAAAAATCACAGTGTAAATTTTGAATATACAAATCCAAAGGTGTTTGTCGCAGCACTTAGGCCAAAGTAAATAATATAACAAAACAGAGAAAAATATAAAAACAAATTTACAAAAAGATCAAGAACTAAAAAAAAACACAAATACACGTGGCAAAAAAAAATAATAAAAAGTATCTCAAGTGTAGAGTGAGTGCTTTTTGTTTTCCTATAAGGAGAATGTCTATTGTCTGTCGTATGTCGTATGTGTCGTGTCTGGTCTAGTCTGGTCTTTAAGGTCTCGATTTCCCTTCAGGATCCAACTGCTGCCGCAAGATGTGCTGGTTGTGTTTGTGGTGGTTGGATACTCTCGTGGAATCTCGATGAATCCCCGTATTTAGCGTCGCTTCACCAACTTTTGAGAATTGATCACAATTTCACGGTTCCACATGTAGCGGTATCCACAGTGTGGTATCATGCTCACAAAGTCCTTAATTCTCACACTCGAATGGTCACAGGATATACAGATCGCTTCGGGTTTTAGGAGGGTGAGGGGGCTCTATATATAATCCTGCAGATCAGGCTACATATAGTTGGCTCTGATCGAAGATCCCCTCAAGCGGACACGTTTCGTTTTATTTGGCGCCGTTGTTGCGGTATCGAATCGAATCCAAAGCACTGCTCTCTCAGATATTTGCTCTGATTTATTCCCGAAATGGAATTCAATTTAAATCAATTTTTGAGTATTGTTATTCCGTCTGTCTTTTGCGCGTTTTCGAAACGCCAAGACGTGTGCTTTTTGTTTTTATTATTTGGTATGCTTTTATTTTTGTTGTTGTCGCTGTTGTTATTGTTATTGTCTTTAGGCAGTTTCTTTGCTTGTGTCTGTGTTTTCTCTGTTGTGGTTTAAGGTGGCAGGGGGGTAGTGGGGGCGTGGCTGAATCTGAATCTGAATCCAAAGCCAAAAGCCGAGAGTTTCGTATTCCGTAACGCACGCCGTCTGAGTAACGATTTTCAACTGAATGGCGTTTGCAAAGTGTGCAAGGTTTTTGCTTTGCTTTGGCCAAAGTCGAGACTCCACACACAGAGAGAGAGAACCAGAGAGAGAGAAATATCGATAAAGAGAGACTCCCAAGAGAGAGAGAAATCAGACAGCTGAGCCCTGCAATAAGATCAATCTCTGGCTTGCTATTTTGAGCACGAGATGCTATCAGCAACAGCAGCCACGGCAGCCGCGGGGCAACCGTCCGATCACAGCACGAGCCCCAGAGTTGAAGTCTCAGTGGAAGCCGAGGCGATACGATGAGACGAGAGGCAAGCCAATGGACTGTGGGACACAGTGGTGCGAGAGTGCACAGAAATCGCTGACAGGTGGAAGCCCAAAAAACAAGTGAAAGTTGAAGGAGATCCTACGATATGAGTTATATTCTGGCTGTGAAAATGGTTTGAGTGTAATGGTTGTGGTTAGTGAGGTGAATCAGAAATTTGTATAGTTTAATAGCTTCCAGACTACTCGAATCGTCCTGTTACATAGATCAGGATAATTTTTATAAGTTATAAAACCCTTAATTCTGCCTCTCACATTAATCTGCAGCATTTCTTGTATAGGATTTTGGTCATAGCTTGGAATAAAATTGCAGATCAGAAAACGCAAACCCCACCCCTAGATTAACCAAGATTCAATTTACATTTAATCTCTACGAATATTTCTGGATAGTAACTAAAGCACCTTTTCTAGGTCGAGTCGATAAACCAGTTTTCTAGACACTTCATTAAAATGGGTGTGTTTCCATTAATAAAATGACTACAATGTAGATTTATTTATTTAATTTCAATAACTGGGAGACAACTAGAGACAAAGTAGATCTTTAAATTAATTAAATCAATTTTTATTGGAACGAATTCCTTTGGAAAATTCAAAGTTTGAGGGTTGGAAGTTCATATTTAAAAAATAATTATAGAAAGCTTTGAGTTGGATATAGATTGAGCAATGAATGTTTATTCCAATAACTAAAAGTCTTTGCACTGAAATATAATTAAACATCTTCTAGATTTTAACTTCTCTTTGGGTACCACTGTCCATCGCCTGCTGTCGTCTCCCTCTCTCTAAAGTAAACCATTTTATATTATATTAAATTATGTACATATGTGTACAATTATTTATTATTTTGCACATCATTATCAATAATTATTAATATAAAATGCGATGGGTGTCAGTCACCCCTCGCGCAGTCGCCCCCGTTGCATCGTATAATAGCCACTGTATATGGCATAAGAAATCCAATCTATTTATTTGCCCTACAATTTGAGACCTCACCTCAGGTGGTGCTGGCTGTGTGACGTGCATTGAACTCTGTTCAACCCCCAAGTGCAATAAAAGCAGATAGAGGTGCCGTTCGGGTGGCTGTTGCCAATGGCAAAAAGTGTTTTATAATATGTTTGAACTTGGAGGAGATTAGCATTATTATACATATATTTTGTGTAGCATAAGGAATGAGTTTTCCTTCCATTTCGATAATGATATATGTACATATGTCCAAAGTTCAATGACGTTCAGAACTCTCTTGAACACATCATATCTCGTGTCCCTTCTCTTCCCTTTAAATGTTATTTATAGGAACTGCGACCAGGCCAAGCCTCAAATAAAGAAACACACTAAACAAAATGGGGGGCACGTCCTCCAGTTGAATGTAAATTGGGTTTAAAACAAAGAAGTTTCCTGCTTAAAAATATCATAATTATAAAGAAACAAACTCTCAAAATTTCCATAAGCAAATGTTACAAAAAAGATATATACATATACATATGTGTAAATATATATACGTCAATTGGTTCATTGATCGGTGAGGCTGATAAATCCTTGAACCTCAACGAGAAGTTGTGTTTCTGGTTTGCCAAAAGAATGCCTCAACCTTCAATTCCAAAACATTTTTTTGAATGTTTTGAAGTTGTTTGAGAGAGCGACAGCGCCAAAAGAATGATTAGAATGATTGGTGCGCTACTAGGAAATAGATTAGAAATATACTCGTATGTACATTCCTTCCGAAATCAGTTTTAAGAGCACAAAGCACAAACTGAAGAGACGTACGGAAGAGAGATCGCTAATGTATGTATGGAAGTGGGAAGAGAGAGCGAACGCGTTCGCGATGATCACTCGCTCAATGCGTGATCGAACGACACAAATGCTGATTCTCACTCTCGCATTGCAAGTGGTGGCCTGGCCATTACAGAGCCAGGGCCCTGGCTTGGCCTGGGCTTGTGGGCCACGTTTATAAACAATAATTACGATCATGGTAAAAACAACACAAAACGAGACATATACTTAAGCGCGAATAAGCTGACAGAGGCGAAAACCCGATCCGGTTTCACAACATCATTTGGAACGGAAAAATATCACCACAGAAATATTTGAAATTTTAAATTGAAATTGATTCGGGAGATTGGGATTGGCGGGCCCCCTCGTTATGTTTCTGACCCACCAATGGCATACAAGAGCTGAAAATTATATAATATAATATATATGTACATGGTATTAAAAATTAAATTTAATATTCCGAATTGTATGCCTGTTGTGGAGGGGGGGCCTTTTGTCTACCATTTCTGCAGACAGACGTAGACGTTCAAAGTTCAACTGCATTTATAATTTGTTTTGGTTTTTTTTCGGTTTTTGTTTTCTTTTTTGCTATTCTTATATACGTTTATTATGGTTGGCTGCTTCTGTTTGATTTCGATTATTTTAGCTCATGGTTTTTCGACTGATAAGGCGACATTCGAGGAAGCTATTAAGAAAATTCAATTGGTTTCAGCTTTCATTTAAATGACATGAGAAATGCTTGGGAAAATCGCAACAAAACATCAATGGATGGTTGAGCTATAGGTACAAGAAACGTAGGAAATATCTGTTATATATCTATACTAAAAAGTATCTGTTTGAATTTGTTATTTAAACCTATAAGCGTCGCTGATAAGAGGAGCTTCAATAGCTTAAAGTTCTTTGATTTGAGGCTATCAGTATTTAAAAGTCTAAATTGAAAGCAAGGTAATAAATACTTATAGGAATAATGGGCTAACGAGGCTTATCGTTATCCTAGACGCTCTTTCTTTATCAAATCGATTGATCTTTAGATGTTACAGGCTTAAACACATCAAATATTAACGTATGATTGAGTTATAGGTAAAATAATTAAAGAGTTTCCAATAGAAGATGGAATTTTGCTTGGTCTGAATAGGCCAAAACGGAAATTTTCCACATATGGACGTGACTTATAGGAGAAAATTCAATTTCATTCAGTTGAGGTATTCTTTCAAATACATAGGTACAGCTTTACAGATTTCATGACAACAAAGTATGCAGTACAATACGAAGTGTAGATTACTTCAAGATCTAATAATTTCATTCGAAATCAGACGATTTTTATCCTTAATAAAAAAAAAAACTACTTACTGCTGTAATTACAACTTCCAAGAACTAACAATTTCATTCAAAGTTATGTGAATTCTATTCCAGAAATAAATACAGTTGAACTTCTTTAACTTGAACTTTAACAATTTTGATTTCTTTTACCGAATCTATTGCGGTATGTGCTTAAACTAGGCCTAAGGTCTTTCACAATAACCAAATAGAGAACTCTTAAAACCGTATTTAACCATCACAGAAAGCACTTAAATTTCTAAGGAACTATTCAACATTCATAAAAAAATCGGCTCTGATAAGACTTTACGTGAACAAAGACCTTTCTGTGTGTGTGCTGCTGAATCAATTTTCCCAGAAGTATTCTAGTCGATTGCCTTGCAATCTTTTTGCATTTTATAGACTTGCCTTCATCCTTCAGGTCATAAAACTCCACAATCAACTCTTCGTTGCCCAATAGATCCAATGAGGTTTCATCATGTAGAGCCAGAACCTCCTCCTCTCCCATCAGTGAAATGCCTAAATATCCATAAATAGCATTAAGAAACCAGATATTATTGTAGTGTAGGGTATAAATGCAAACAAACCATTTGCAAAGTTATCATCATAGAGCCACACTCCGTCTGTTGACTCAGTGAGCGCAAACAGATCGGTGGCTACCGCAGCCGATGTTGGCGACTGGGGCTCCATTTTCAGATCCCAGTACAGCTCTCGCGGTAGATCCAAACTCTCCATTGTCTGGTGAAATGATGATGTGTTCATATTCGGTGTCAAAATCAGATGTCAAACTCGATATAGAAAATGTTCTTGAATAGATGAAGTCCGGTCCGTAGAATGCGAATGGTTGTTGTAGCTGTGATTCTTGTTGTTGTGAGGATGCCATGGTGGCGCTGCAATAATATATATTCAATAGATTCAGTAATAAGCAACTATATTTCATGATTCGACACTAAATGTATGACCTGCACTGTACAGTGCACCCCCATGACGCTGTAGAATCCCCTGATTTGGCACTAAATGTACGACCTGCACTGTACGAGTGATAAGCCCCCCAGACGGTGTAGCACGTCAGAACCCTTTCAGACCAAATAAATAGTTTTCTGCTCAATCAGAGACGCTGGCGTTTGGTTGCGTAGTCATGCTGATAGGCAAACGACGACCCCTAATTCTGCTCAATTTCCATGAAATAATGTGAAAGACAAACATGAACTTAAACTTCAAGTTGCACCTCCCCATATCTTATCTAGTTGGTGGGTTGCCATGTGGGTGGGGTGAGTAAGTGTGGTCGGGGGACCTGCCCTAAGAAGCTGTCTGCCAGAAGGGATTTAAGGCGGGAAAACATTCTATCAGCGAAAGCAATTTTTGCACTTGTTTGGCAGACAATCAAATAGAGATTCAGTTCATGCCACAGTGAAAACCGGTTTAGCGGGAAAGCGCCTTGAAGTGATGATAAGTGGTGCAGCTACAGAGCGAAATGTATTGCCAAAGTGGGAGCGAAAGCCCCTCAAATAGATGGAAAATGTAAACAAAACAGACAAATGCGGGATCTTCCTTATCTTGTAAACTTTATCTATAGCCAAACCCCTCTGCAGTTGTGACTCATACATAGAAATATTATGTATATTATTATTAACAGACGCACGTGTTGTATTGCAGCAGCATGCAACGCGCGGGGGTGTCGCTGACTCAATTCCAGCCAGCGATTGCGTCAGCCAATCTTTTGGCCACTCCATGTGTGTGTGTTGCATGCCCCAAAGGAATTGCAATTACATTGGTTTTTGCCACGTCCCAAGCGAAAAACAAGAAACCATATAAGCCCCACACACACACACAGAGGTAACAACAGAATAAGTTTGCAACACCAGTACGCCAGTGTGTGTGTCTGGGGGTTTCGGAAAATTGCGAAATGGGTTAGGATGGGACTTTGGGTTTTCTGGTGTACTTACGCTTGCTTTTTATACGATTCCATTTTGTTGTTGTGTTGAGGCACCAAGGTGCTTGTTTTTGTTGCTTGCGCACAAACTATAAAGCCATTTTTACGTCAATATAAATGCCGAAAACTTTTTGAGGAAAAATTGTTGCTTTTTGCGTTTCATTTGGAACGATAATGAGTGTTACCAGTTCGGACTGTCCGATAAAATATTCCGCCTGACCCTCAGAAATATACCAAAATATACCATATATCATTTTCAAAATATACCGACGAAAAAAGAACTTAGCCCACTTAACCTCCCTCTATATAAACAGTGAAAAACCTTCACTTAAGCCGCGGAAAATAATTCTGTTTTTAAAGGCTCCTTGTAGCTCCATCCTCCTCTTTACTTACAAAACAAAAACGACTACCGATACCTTTCACCTGCACTGCGTAAAATATGTTAAAGTTACATAAATTTCGTGGAAATATTTTATCCCAGATTAACATGTTTTTTTACCTATTAATGCACATGTTTGTGTTAGATCAATACAAAACAATTTTCCCAAGGTATGCAGATTTTTGCTCATTCTGTGCCAAAGTTGCACAACAATGCTGCTAATTCATTTCCCCATGTTGCTGAAAATTTTCCCATTCAAATCAAATGTATCTTACGGAACGACGCAACAATGAATCTACGTTGGGCGTCTTTTAAATTATTGTTCATTAAAATCTATGGAGAGACTACAAGTACTAAAACAAATTGTAAATCCCGAAATCTATCAGAAAAAGTCATTTTGGTTCACAACCTAAATAAAAAGTTCAATTGTGTTGAGTAGTGTAATCAGCACCAACCAATGAAAAATGTGGCTCACACCACGAAAAGGGGAAAGTCACCACGAAAACCTCAAAAAAGAGAGAAAATTTTGAAAAACCACAACAAATTGAGAGCGCTAAACGAGTCTGGCGGTCATTTTCAAAAGTAAATTAATATACCAGATTAAATACTCATTTTGTGTGAGCACATCGTCAACAGTATCGCTCCTCGTGGGCTCGTATCGATAGTTAAGGCGATATATCGATCCAATTTTAAGTGCAGCCGAACAACTAAGTAGTTGAGAGAATATGTGGAATAAATTGAAAAACATATCTAAACACTTGTTTAGCTCAAGGTTTTATGTATTCTCCGCGATTTTACTGACTTAAATAACACACGATGATTCGCTGCTATCTCTAGCTCACAAGTGCGTTTTCCTTATTAATTTTAACACCTTGCAGCGCTGTTTATAAAAAAACCACAAACTTGACAACCCTGGTGGGAGGGCGACGGCTCTCCTCGCATTTTATTAAATATGTGTTAAATTGCAATTTAAACTACGTAAAGGCTTCATTGAGAAACGTGTGCGCCGCGTCATTGCGTGTTCGTCGTCTGTGTGTGTACGGTTGAGCCCCCAAATGTTGGCCCCCTTAAAACGATGTGTGTGTTCGCGCGTTTTACGTGTGTGTGTGTGTGTGTGTGAATAGGAAAAACGGAGGCAGAGACAGAGGTCAAAAGTGCACGTTAACCAAACAAAAAGCTCCGTGTCCCCAAAAAAACGCAATGCACAACATCTGGGGCAAGGTCATATCAAATGATTTGAATCGATCTGAAAATAAAATACCCATAATCGATTTCAGAGAGGTGTACTTAGTGGTGGTGGGAAAGGGCAAACATTTCTATTATGGTCATTTGTATTAGTGCTGCCCGCTGTCGACGGGCTGGCGTCCACAAAATGCAGCCTGCCTGCTCTTTCGCACTCGTTCTCTCGCTGGTAGCACATTCCTATGCTGATAAGACGCGCGTGTGGAAACGAGAGGGAAGCGCGTCAGCTGTTCAATGTTTTGATTGTGTGCAATCGCACAGGTTTCCAGAGGCAGCTTCAAACGGTTCTTTCTGGCTGCGCTGCCGCTGCCGCGATCAGTTCCGTTCGTGAAATTGAAAAGCCCCATTGCTCCAGCAACAGCTCCATACGCGATTCATTTGTTAAAATTCGTTGGGCGCGTGCTGACGGGAGACGGGAGAGTTATTCTGCGGAGAAACACAAGCAGCAGCAGCAGAGACAGAAGCAATTGAGAATTTTTCATTATCGGCAATTGCCGCGCGGTGGCTACTGACGTTCGTTCTACCCCCCCCACCACTTCGATAGCTTTATAGTGAGTGTGTGTGCGTGTGTGTATATGATTATTGTTATTATTGTGTTTTGTGACGCATATAACGGCAAAAAGCGGGGCGTGTTTACCATTAGAACGTGTATAACAGAGATGGAGATAGAAAAGCAGTGATAGAAGCGTGGAAGCGAGAGAGAAGACAAGTAAGCAGTGCAAGTAGGATGCTGAAGCAGTGATAGAAGTTTGGAAGGGAAATAATACGATAGCAAAGGGAATAAATGTAAACAGTGTTAAATATCCCATCTAATTAAAAAAAGTGCTAAAGTGCCAATCAAAAGCACGCGTAAAAATAGCAAACAAAACAAAGGTTTAATCAGAAATTGTTTACAAACCAAAAAGAGCGTTAATTAGCCGTAAAAACAAGAACTAACAAATATAAATAAAAGTGCTAATAAATAAAAACTGAAAATGCGCAGGGAATATTAATAGAATAAACCCGAATAAAAACCAATCTAATGCCATCTCTGACCATCTCTCAAACCATTTATAGAGCTATGGAAAATACCCAAAAAAACGAGCGACAACCGTTAATTGCTATGAGAAACATTAAAAAACGATTAAGCGTGCCCAAACACAAGCAATAGAGGAGTCCCCGATACGTACCACACGTTCCACACTGGTTAAAAAGTGTGGCCAGGACACAGGTACCACATTGAGCAACCCAACAGTGCACCCGTTCCTCAACATCTACAAACTATAGAAACAGTAAAAGAGAAAGGCTATACCATACCCTCCTCTTGCACTTTTTGCTGAAGATGATGCTGAATAAATACGAGAGCTATCAACGCACAAACCAAATGTTTCCCCATCAGCAGCAGCAGCAGCATCAGCTGCAACAGCTGCAGCAACAACAGCAGCAGCAGCAGCAACAGTTGCATTTGCAACAACAACAACAGCAGCAACAACAATCGCTGTTTCCACACCTTCAATATGGGCCAGGACCCACGGGATGCTCCCCGACTTCGGCGGATCTGACGGCGGCCGCCGAACGGGAATCTATCCACTCGGGCCAGTTTATGGTCTCACACTTTGAGGCCGAGGATGCGCAAGATGATCTCGAAGACGATGGCGAGGTAAAGATGCTGGATCCAGAGGATCCCAGCTTGGATAAGCCCGGCTCACCGGCCAACACCTGTCGCGATGTTCAGCTCTATGTGCCCCAGATAGTGGGCCACCACTTCAATGACATGGACCAGGAGTGCGATGAGAACAGCATGAGCATGATCACCTCACATCTGGAGATCGAAACTTCACTCACCAAACTCTTCAAGTGCATGAATCTGGCCTACAGGTGAGTCGTCTCCAGTTCAATCCACCTACAATAGACACGTGCAACGGGCATACAAAAATAAAAATTAAAAAAGCTACAACCCCGAAATATAGTTTCCCGCTCTGTTTCGTTTCACGCGTTAGCCGCGTGATAACAAAATTGGCCAAAAAAAAAACCACAAAATAAAAAGCTTGGACAGCGCTGGTCGCATAATCGCGCGACAGCAACGCTACGGTGACTGCTCGGGTTACTTTTGGGCATAACTTCGCCTTAATCGCGATTGTCCGTCGATCCGTCGTCTTCCCAGGTTCGAAGTTCTCCCATTTCTGCAAACGTCAACGAAATAATTGCTAAAATACGAGTAATATCACAATAATACGATATCAAAAAAGATACGTCGTACAACAAAGTAATACAGCAACAGAAACAGAACTCACACCAAAAATGATTCGAGTCGCAGTCAATGTACTCTTGCCACATAACCGCTATGAACTGGCAGGTGGAAACTTCAATGAATGAATTAAATTATGGAAATATGGAAGATGTAGAATGGGATTGTACGATGGATAGATCATCAATAATAATGGGGAACTCCAAATATAGATAAATCCTTGGAAAAAGTAGATTCTTAAATGAAAATAAATCATTTTTGATTCTACATAAAGACATCTTCCACTCCCTTTGTACACACAGAAATCTTTTGAAATTGATTTGGTTCTCTGAGGAGCTTTTCCTTCGCATAGTGTATCGTTCCGAATGGGTATAGAATTTCTATGTCTGGGCGATACAAAATCTCCCAACATATTTGAAATTCCAAACGTCTGGGTACACCGTAATATATTTCTGGTTTCAATTAGGCCGTTTAGTCATCCTCAAACATCGTACGTTCCATCATCTGTTTGATCTATTTTTAACCCCAATGTACCGCCACAATCCCAAATTCCGGGTTTCTTTAGCATTTTGTTTGTTTTTTATTTTGTCTGGCATTTGGCATACGAGTACTTTATTGGGCCCTACGACTCGTTATCAGGCAGATAGTAGCAATATTGGCGTTAGAGCGGTGTCTCTTATCAGCAGCGTCCCAGCGTTTATTTGCACAGGACTTTTATTCAGGTTTACTTTTGTTTTATTTCGAAACAAATTGCGCTGTGGGGTAATACATTAGATAATGCGCAAAAAAGTAAAACACATACGCGGGTTGCAAGTATAGTTAGTTATTCGAGGAAAACATCGGGAGCGGGCCTCCGCAATACGATAGATTAGCAAAATCGTAGGAATTATTGAATCAAGGTCTAAAAGCGCAGCAGATTAGAGGAAGCGTAGAAGAACTTAATTAGTATTATAGTGGTCCAAAGCATTCCATATCATAAACGCTAAATGATTCAATTAAAGTTACGCTTGCAACAGGTTTATTTCTACTAAATGGGGAAGCACGCCAAGTGCCCCCAACTGGTGGTTCGAATCCCGGGAATAACTCCAAATATACAAATATCTTACTATAATAGTGGTTCTACGAGTGGGATACATATGTACATACGTGTATATATGTACGTACATATGTCTGTGGGCGAATTTCATGGCTAGGGGTATCAGAAAAACGAGTTAGGAATGAGCAATGGAAGAGATATCTTTATCATTTCAAAGAGAATAGGGGATGCTCTTTTTTTTAGTATAAAAATATTCCATCTGAAACTAAGGATAATTATTTAATTTAAAATATTCTTTAA